ACTGTAAAATCGTCACTAAAATGGCCGCCATTTTGAAATGAGCGGCCATTTTGAAAATCGGCTTTCGAGCAGAACTTCTAACCCCATAGGGTATATGTGTACAAAATATGAACAAAATCTGGCCCACCGTATTTGAGTTATTGCCCGGACGGACGGGCGGACAGACGGACGGACGGACAGACGGACGGACAGACGGACGGACGTACGTACAGACGTACGTACGGACGGACGGATGGACGGACGGAGGCGTTCCCTATATCCCTCCGAACTTCGTTCGATGGGATAAAAACTGAAATAATCAATCTAAAATGTAGCCGATGGATCCTTGGAGTCTCGAGAACATGTAGCAACTTAGCTATTCTAGGTGAACTGGGAAGATTACCTATGTCATACTTTATTCAACTCAGCATGTTAAAATATTGGGCTCATATTCAAACTTTATCAGATGAGAGATTAGTCAAAAAGGTGTTTCTTCACACAAAGTCAAAGAGTAAATGGTAAACTCACATTAAACATATCCTTGATAATATTGATAATATTGATAATATTAATATTATTTCATAAAACTGGTGGAGCAAAAGTTATCATTAAAGATCAAATCACAATGGAAATCAAAATCTTCATCTAGTCAAAATCCACGATTTAATAACAAACTAAGGACTTATGTTAAATTTAAACCAGAACTGACTTTAGAAAAATACTTAACTTCAACACAAAATGTATATAGTAGAGTAAAATTCACAAAGCTTCGTATAAGTGACCATTATCTTGAGGTGGAAAAAGGACGTCGTAAACATGTCAAATTTGAAAATCGTCACTGTACTAAATGCAACAACTCTGACAAACCTATTAAAGATGAATTTCATTTTGTCATGAAATGTAACAAATATTCTGTAACAAGGAACATTTTATTCGAAAAAATATCTAAATCATGTTCAACATTTTATTCCATGACAGATGAACAGCAATTTCTCCACATCATGTCTTACAAAACAAACATGACTGACATAATGAAATTCATATCCAATAACCTGTAAAATATTAAAATGTACACACTGTATCATATATATGAATATTATGAGGTTATATAATGGTTCTTTCTGTATATCGTGTTTATACTCGAGTGAGTATATGATATATTCACAAGTGAGCGTAGCGAACGAGTGAATATATTATATCCTCACGAGAGTATAAAATGCACGATATACAGAATGAACCATTATATAATCTTATTATGCCACTCTAAGTTCAAGTTCAGTTGATTCGAACACAATCAAAACAATTAAAAACCATAAAAATATCCCATAGCCAACTCAATAATGCTGATGTTGATCTCGAACCATTTATGACGTGGCTTGATTCTAGCAAATCATGCCGGAACCATTTATGACGTCACTTGATTCTAGGTAATCATGAACATTTTCGTGATTTTTTTATTCATTAGTTCCCAGAATGCACTTCTACAGTGGTATACGCTGGAGTGTATACGGAGGAGTTGTATACGATGACGATATACCACTCTCCACTGTATATCGTTGTTATAGACCCATGTTATACAACTGTAATTGGACTTAGAGTGGTATAAATATGTATATATATATTTTTTATGTATTTCCTTATACTTAGTTAGCCTGACGATACCACACTGTACATGTACATGAGGTTGTGTCAATAAATATTATTATTATATAATATATCCCATGATAGGATTGGTTCATCCATTCTAAGACTACTCACTGATGCAATGTAGAACCAGGACATGTATTCCATCTGTCTAACCGTAAGTAATGTCCCTTTATATCTCGAGACCAGGAATATGAATCAGAAAAGCAGTATGATGCATGGACATCTCATTCAGAAAACTGCTGTTATTCACAATGATTCCAATTCCATTCTCATGTAATGAGAAATGAGCACAACAACTTTTTAAAAGGATCAAAACAGAAGGGATTTTAAACCTTGAAATTACACAATCCTCAACCTGCTTAACATAGCAATGGAATGGATATTTGTTACTATGGCAACATATTGTAGAGCATTTCTTACATAGCCTTAGCTCAAAAGTAGTCAGATTCACTTATAAAACTCAGAGTCATCACCTTAACATGCAATGAACAAATTCAAAGCGTATGCATGAAATAATTTACAAATACCTTGGTTTTCACTTAGTCTTAGTAAAGACGTTTTCAATCACTAAATAATTATATTATCAGGTGGTGACATTTTGTTGTGTTAATGCCTTGTTTGATTCAGATTAAAAGCTTTGATAGTAGAATGAAAGTGCAAATTTCCGATTCTGCAGTGGATGACACATCTACTATAACTACAAAATTCTGGAAGGGGGACATGAAACAGATAGAGGTTAATGAAGAAGGAAAAACATTTTGTATTGAAACTGATAGATATAAGGATGGTCCCTTATCGCTTGTATGCACTAATGAAACTAAAGTTAACCCAGTAAGTATCTTTATGCAATCTTGATCATGTTTTGGTATATCTGAGTACGAGTAGGTACAGGTACACTATTGTACAGTAGAACCTGTGAATAATGAAAACATCCGAAGACTTTGTATAAAACAACTCTTAGGGAGGACCCACCTAGTGTTAATATACTTTTCCAAAGTGACATCTATGTGTGAAATGTAATCTGAAGCCTCAAAAATAAAGGAAAATAAAGGAAAAGTGTTATTACAATTGTGCCGAGCAAGGGCAAATCAAGAGTGGTACGCTCTGTTGAATAAACAATAGAAAGGTGGTATTTTGCTGAGCAAGGACAATTTCACAGTGGTTTGCTTTCTTGAAATTTTGGCCGAGCAATGGCAGATTTGTGAGTGGTACACTCTGTTGAACAAGGTTAGGCTTAAATAATTTGTTATTGTGTGGATAGGCAGTTGGATTTAGAGGTATGCAGTATTGGTGGGATAATTTTTAGACTCGGAATAATGTTTGAAGTAGACAGAGTTTTTGTTGAGTTCATGTTATGTTCCACAGGAATTTTATTCCTGGGTAATTTTTCTTTTCAAAATGACAGAACGTTTTTGTTCTTGGAAATTTTTTCCACGTGGAGAAGTTTAAATGCGAATGTTACCCTGAACGTGTCTCGTTCGGAAATGCAGTGTGTTTTTGGAGTTCGTTTTTTTACTGTAATCCTTATCCTTATCCTTATTTTAAAATTTTATAAATTATTTAATCGATGCTGAAGTTTCTTTTCAATGCAAAAGTTTTTTATCAATGTGATGGAATGGTTAAAAGGATTATGCTGGTGAGAAATTGATTATAAATTTAATTGATTGATGTGATAATATGTTGATGTTTGGATAAACCAGAAATTTAATTTTTTCAATTTTTGATTTCAGTTTGTGTTTAGATCTAGATCTACTATTGAGCCAATTGAACAACATGTCGGTGACTGTTTTGAAAAAGAAGCACAGATTGGGTTCAGAACACCTGGTGAGGTATGTAAAGTTCTTGAAGAATATTGACTTGCCTGCAGTTTTTGCGAGAGTCTAGAAAAGCAAGCCTACAGAAGTAATGGTTGAGGATGAGGTGAGAAGATCATTTGCGATGAACTCTGATGAAAAGATTGAGGTAATTATGATCTTAGTAAGACACTTATGTGAATTATTAAGGGATGGATAGAAGGTTACTTAAATTGTGGATTGGTTGTTGATTGGTGAAGATGTACATGTATTGTAGATTTGTGTTTCCTTCTTGAGATGAGTGAGTCATACTACCAGGTTAGGATGTCTTAATTGAATGATGTTATGATGTTGTAGGATCTCGAAGATATGGCGGGGAGAGAACTTAATTTGGATAATATGAAATTGGCCCTGCATGTAGGAATCCTTATAGCCAATGAAAGGGGCAACCTAAATCTACATACAGACAATCTAGAGGACACATGTAGTTTGGATGTCTGTTGTTTATATATGTTAAATGACTTAATAGGTTATAAATTATGTATGAGGAGTGATTTCCCTAATTTTCATTCCTGGTATTGTACTGCAGTTTTATGTTGGATTTTTATTGAACAGATAGGGATGATATGTTATTTTTGCTCTGTTTTTTGGAAGGGTTTTATTGATTTTATCAATTTGAAGGGATATCTTATAATCTAAATCATTGGGTTAAAATGATAATTGTTTTTGATAATGACATATTTGAAACGGAATATTTATATTATTAGTTTGTGTTTTAGTATATAGCTTAAAATAATTATTTCATTTTGAATCATTAATTTAATGGTGTTACAGAAGCAGAAAGAGAAAACTGACAGCCAGGAAAATTCAGAATCTACTAAGGGCCTTAAAAGAAGGATAGAGCTGAGCTGGAAGCTGAGCAAAAGAAGAAAAAAAGGGGTCAGCCGCTGATGAACTATATCGTAGGGTAAGGGTCCTTTGTCTGCAAGACCCCCCCCCCTTTTTAAATCCTCAAAAATAGCCAAAATCCAACATATGACTGTCCGGAATCTGTTGTGCTAATTTCCCTCCTCCTACGATTATTTACAGATTCATCTCAGACAGTTGGATTTGGGGTGATAATGGACAATCCCTGGTCGCAATAGGGGCAGATGGTACCAATGTTATGATGGGGCACAAGGATGGCTCTTCAAAAAGAGTTACAACTAAACCTCTTGCTTATACACTGTACTGAACACAGGACAGTGCATACTCAAAGTAATTTGAATTGAAATAAGTGTACAATAATTTGCATCAAAATAACTCATGTTTGTAAAAACTATAACAACCTTCAATATTTTAATCCTAAAATGCAAAAAAATAAATAAATAAAAAAAACATATGAAGGTATAGTCCTAAATCTACTAACTAATATTACACTGTCATCACCTACCTTGAAAAGCGCTTTAGCAATAAGCTATCTACCTCATAAGTGTATGATGTAGATAATACCAAGATAAAAAAATGCTGATGACGAATGACTATAAAGACATTGAATATTGATGAACGATGACAAATTAAATATAAATAGAGAAACCATACCTGAAGATTTGGAAAATCCCCAGACGCATACGCTCCTAATATAGCAGACCCCAACAACACAGACTCCTCTTCCTCAGGCAGCAAGATTGGCAATCCTGGAATAAACATTTAATTGTGGAAAAATTGCATTAAACTCTGACAAAGGTAAAATTATCTATTTTCATAGTCAAGTCTTTACATTGTGTCAGTTTCAGGTTGCTACAAGTTGTTTGGTAGAGGAGTTCAGAATTAGTGGCATGTCAATCATTAGTTCGAATAACAGTTTTTTTGTCATGTTTGCTTCTAAATATTTTCCCTTAGTTTATTATGTGTACATTGGAGAAATCTAAATGATTACTACATATTATCCTACACTTAGTGCACTAAATGTATAATAACATTAAAAAATAAAGGAGCATGTAAGATATGGCAAGCCATTTTCAAAGGGCTATATCTTTAGTTCGAAGAATAATTTAACCACAAAATCAAATGGTTCTGTTAGATCCATGTCTTATCTTCAATAAATGACATTAGGATGATACTCAAGTTGATTGGATTATCTCTTAAGCTGTCCCTAATCCACCCATCCTCACCAATTTCCCCTAATTCTGACGCAATTTTCACCAAAAGTGCAGGCCTTTTTAATACTTTTTAGTACAAAGTTGTATTCAACTTTCAGACATGATTTAAACTGTAAACACAGGCTGGTATCGAAATATTTGTCCGCTGTGACGGAGCATGCTATTTTTCATAAAAACACTTAGAATACTTCACGATTTATTTTTTAACATGTTTCGTTATACCATACAAAATTACTTACTCCATGCAATGGATATATCATTTGCGGGTAACTTTCACTTCTATTTGAAGTCCAATTACGCTGGGAAGAAAAGCTATTGAAAATGGCGCCGGAGTATCATACTTCAAAATGTACCATTTCTTGTTTAACTTTCTAATGGCACGATATAGTGACACGATAATATTTACACATGGTTTCAGCATAACTATGAAGGTATAAATGAGATGTTGATGTATTTGGTCTTTTTAATTCTTTTATAGAAAATAATGTTTAATTTTTTTGTCCGCTGTGACGGAGCAGTTGCAAATGTGAACTGTGAAAATGCTCCGTCACAGCGGACAAAATATATTAATATTATTTTTTATAAAAAAATTAAAAAGACCCAATGCATTAATATTTCATTAATACATTCAGAGTTATGGTGAAAACATATGTTAATATTATTGTGTCACTATATCATGCCATTAAAAAATTAAAATTTATGAAAAATAGCATGCTCCGTCACAGCGGACAAATCTTTCGATACCAGCCTGTGGTAAAGGGGAAAAGTTAATTATGAACCTAATTTTTGGTATTTTTTTCGTGATTTTTTCATATTTTTTCTGATATTATAAGGTGCTTCATACTCATATTATACAATTACAAAATAGAGGGCAGCTAAGTGTCATAAGTAATTTGTTTGTTACACTGTTTCAAACACTCTGATAGTGACTTACTCAGCCTTATGGATTGCCCTAATCCTGTATTTTACCTTGACAATTGTTTGTGTATAAAACAGTTGTGTCATTCACGTAGAGCTATTTATATACTGAATAGTTCTTTCTAATTACATGTGCCTGGTTTTGGCTATTCAACCTAGACTCTTTGTTTGGGCAGGCTGAAATGAATAAGTGTGAAAATAAAATGAATTACAGGGTGAGGCAAAAAATGTCATCCAAAGAAATGTTATTAGCTCATTCATCCAGTATGAGTTGAAATCATATTTAGTTAATTTTACTATGTTTTATGGGTCTATTCCTCAATGTCACAATTATATGACCATTCTACAAACTTCAGCCTCGTCCCTTCAGGCAGACCTGCACTGGTCGGTTGAGAATGTAAGGTCACCGTCACATAAATTGTTCTCCTACTTGTTGTAGGGGTTGACATTATCTCAGAGATAGCCCGTAGTCATGAGATGAGGTTGGCATTTTGGACCATGTTTCGTTTTATAGCCATAAAATCCAAGACTATTTGGGCAGGGTCGATAGTACAATAACGTCATTTCTAAGGGCAATATAGTGAAATATTGGACCGAGGGCTGCTCGCAGAAATGACGTTATTATTAGTATTATTACCACCGTTAACGACCAGGGCTGAAATAGCAAGAAAATCTTACGCACTGAACGATATCTAATTTCCCAGGGAAAAATTGCCAGTCCAGAATTTATTCTAGACCGGTCCATATGGACCACCACTATGACGTCACACATTTCTCAGGTCGACTTAGTAAAATGAACGCCTTCTAAACTAGCACTAAAACCCCTAGAACTGGCCCGGCAAGGTGGTAATAATTAGTAAAATGAAAGAACATTAAACAAGGTTTTATTATGCGAAATAACACTTTAACAGATGCGGAATTTGTTTGGGCTACATTTTTGGCTCACTCGGTATTAGACTGCACTTTGATAGTATTCATGATGTCATATGTTGGGTAAAAGGCGATGATTTAACCTATTGTTGATGGCAAATTCATTTTAATACAAATGAATAGTGACAGGTGCTTTTTATATCTAATGAGCCATAAAATAGTATGTTGATCTGGAAGCTGTTAGTTGAATTCGCGAATACTACTTGTAATGGGGTTTCAAAGCCCGTGGTCACCTATGTAGTTTCTTCATCCTAGGTCAAATCCGCTCAAGAATGCCCTTAATTACAATTTCTTGAATCACAGCACCCCTAAGCTTAATCATAATTCCATTAATTGACCTACAGCATAGGCCTAGGGAAAAGTAGTAGGAAGGCAGCTTATAAGTGCTCTCGATGTTCATAAGCTTACTACCACTACGGCCTATGGCCTACAGATAAGTTTGGGATCCCTTATTAAAACCAAAACCTCTAATTCTAATTATAGCCCCTAAAAGCAACAACCTCAAACCAAGTGGATGTGGCAGTCATTGAACCCAAAAGCATTTTTATATGCCAACCTATAATGAGACCCCCTTTAGTGAATAACAACCAGGTAGTCGTCTACGGTATAGCAACATGTTCAGTTTGTAATTTTATAGAAGGTCACTGAATCCCCTGATTGTTCATTCAGTTATGGATAAACTATGAGTACTGGGTTTTATGAGAAATAATAGCAGAGGGGCTTGGCCTGAGGCTATAAGTTCTCATAAGACCCATTTCGAATAATTTATCTAACTTAAAACCCACACTGACTCTTAGGAAGGGTAAATGACCCATGATCCAAGTTTAGAAAAAATATTTTGTATTAACTGTGAGGTAAATGTGTAGAGAAGTGGGTTGGTTTAATTGGTTTAATTGGTTCAGCTTCAATGCACTGCGTGTATCAGGCAAGGTACAGTTAAAAAGTGTATTTATTTTGTGTTTACAATTCAACTATTGAGTGATTGAAAATGGTTTAATAAGTACAGCTTCGGTGCACTGCATGTGACAGTCAAGGTGTAATATTGAGCCAAACACTGTCAATCATATTTTGTGCCACACTGGTTTTAGATAGCTTACAGTGTCCATTCTTCAAAAACAATACAACAAGAATGCACTCCTCTTTCTTACTACTGTACATTCTTTAAGGTGAAAAAGGTCTTCAAAACAGACAGACAGACAGACAGACAGACAGACAGACAGACAGACAGACAGACAGACAGACAGACAGACAGACAGACAGACAGACAGACAGACAGACAGACAGACAGACAGACAGACAGACAGACAGACAGACAGACAGACAGACAGACAGACAGACAGACAGACAGACAGACAGACAGACAGACAGACAGACAGACAGACAGACAGACAGACAGACAGACAGACAGACAGACAGACAGACAGACAGACAGACAGACAGACAGACAGACAGACAGACAGACAGACAGACAGACAGACAGACAGACAGACAGACAGACAGACAGACAGACAGACAGACAGACAGACAGACAGACAGACAGACAGACAGACAGACAGACAGACAGACAGACAGACAGACAGACAGACAGACAGACAGACAGACAGACAGACAGACAGACAGACAGACAGACAGACAGACAGACAGACAGACAGACAGACAGACAGACAGACAGACAGACAGACAGACAGACAGACAGACAGACAGACAGACAGACAGACAGACAGACAGACAGACAGACAGACAGACAGACAGACAGACAGACAGACAGACAGACAGACAGACAGACAGACAGACAGACAGACAGACAGACAGACAGACAGACAGACAGATAGATAGATAGATAGATAGATAGAGTCATAAAATAAAGCCACAATTGTTAATTTTAGTTTTTCATTGATTGTCAAAATAGCGCCATTCAAAAGACTTTTCAATAGAGAAAATCCCTTCTAAATAAGTTTTAAATAGGTTTTAAATATGTCAGGGTATTCTGTGTATCATTTTATTTAATCATAGCATGAATAAAGATAATTGTAGTCTCAGGAATCGTAAATTCACCCCAACACATGAGAGTGTAATTTGTGCAGTTGTGCTTAACAGTGGATGATGATTCCATATTGAATAGGGGAACAATCTAAATGTCGCAATATAGGTGACACCTTTTAGACGACTTCCTGAAATTTCCCAGCAAATAAAAAACGTTTTAGTGTAGATTGGTTCTATAGTGAACGAGCATTTCAATTAGGCATTTTTTATCGAGGATAAAATAGCAAAGGTAAACAATTTTGCAATTCTGGCCTTATTTATGACTAGAAAAATGTTAGATCTATAGGACATACACGTAGGTCTACACGTGCATTAATGCACCTACAATTCATATGATCAGAATAATCTGAAACGTTAGAATTGAACTCTTCAAAGAATGTATCATGCCCCAAGTACGCGGGTACATGTACGTGGGTACGAGGTATAAGGTTTTTAATACAAAGCCCGAGGTATTGACTGAGGGAATAGAGTGATCGAGTGACAATATCATAATTACACAAGGCAATACACCTATTGTCAAAGGGTAAAACCCATAGCATTAAACTGTTTGTTCCATAAAAATCCCAATCAGCAAAAACAATCCAATAAAAAGAACAGGTGCGTTTATTGGCAAATATCCCAATGGTCAAAATAAATAATTCTTA